GGGAAACTTTTGACTTTGTATGTGAGAGAAGGAGAAAGAAATATCAAACATCTCTTTCTCTCACACACAAAATCAAAAGTTTCCCTGTATGAACCGGCTCTTAGTGTAGTAGCAGATTACAAGGGTGTCAACTGATTTTGTTTGATTTCAGCAACAAATTTGCTCTTATCGGAGAATGATAAAAATACCTTGACTCAAAATACATATATATATTTATAATAATCTTAATGATTAATGAACTTTCCTAAGGTTCTGAAACATTTGGAATTTGTGAAAATAAGCGAAATTTTAAGCTTTAACCATTAATATGATCGTTTTGAGAAAAATTAAGAAAACTGAAAAGGTTGACAACACTTTTCCATCATCTAGGCCTAATTAAATATCCCTCTTCTACTTAGTTCACACAAAGAAAACTCTCTTTCTTTTACTCTTTGAAAATTCAAGATCACAATACTCACTCTCTGCCCCACGCTCATAATGAAGGGGTCATTTATAACGAACACAAAAATAGTTTAATTTAAATTGAAAACACACGAAATTATAAGTTTGACTTCAACATTTAGTTGAATGAACTTTATCACTCAGTTTAATTGAACAATTTTGAGAAATGTGTTGTGTCGACTTTTCCAAAAAAAATAAAATATATAATACAGAAATAAATTCATGTAGCAATAAAAAATAAACTCACTTTCACTTTAACATTAAGTGAAACATAACAATAGTTACACTGTTGCAACCGAGACAATGAGTCAAGAAGCTAGTGTACATACCTTCGAAAAAACAAGTTTGTTTTCCAAAAAACGCTTTACACAATTTTGAAAAATTTTTAAATTAACCAAAAAAATATATATATTCTTTAACAGATATATACAAATGTTGTTGACTTTAAATTTTAAACACACGTTATTTTTTTTAATAGACGACATTTGGGTAATTTTAATCGTGTTAGGAATACAGAGTTGCTCAATTAATTAGCATGTAATAAATTGAAATTTAACACTCATGATAAAATATCATCTTAAACAAGTAAACGTGCTAAGAACGTTTTGTAATATAATAGGGATTCAATATAATTACTTAAATCCACTGGATGTTTTATAGTACTTTTAAATGATATTAAATCTATTGCTCTATCTGACTTCAAGATATAGCGCACCAAGATCCTAAATATTGTTTCGAGGTTGAAACTTAAGTTAGATTCTTGTCTATAGTCTAGTGTAAAGTCTAGTCTATAGTCTAGTCTATAGTCTAGTCTATAGTCCTAGTCTATAGTCTAGTCTATAGTCTAGTCTATAGTCTAGTCTACAGTCTAATCTATAGTCTAGCTATTCTATAGTCTATTCTATAGTCTAGTCTATAGTCTAGTCTATAGTCTAGTCTATAGTCTAGTCTATAGTCTAGTCTATAGTCTAGTCTATAGTCTAGTCTATAGTCTAGTCTATAGTCTAGTCTATAGTCTAGTCTATAGTCTAGTCTATAGTCTAGTCTATAGTCTAGTCTATAGTATAGTCTAGTCTATAGTCTAGTCTATAGTCTAGTCTATAGTCTAGTCTATAGTCTAGTCTATAGTCTAGTCTATAGTCTAGTCTATAGTCTAGTCTATAGTCTAGTCTATAGTCTAGTCTATAGTCTAGTCTATAGTCTAGTCTATAGTCTAGTCTATAGTCTAGTCTATAGTCTAGTCTATAGTCTAGTCTATAGTCTAGTCTATAGTCTAGTCTATAGTCTAGTCTATAGTCTAGTCTATAGTCTAGTCTATAGTCTAGTCTAGTCTATCTAGTCTATAGTCTAGTCTATAGTCTAGTCTATAGTCTAGTCTATAGTCTAGTCTATAGTCTAGTCTATAGTCTAGTCTATAGTCTAGTCTATAGTCTAGTCTATAGTCTAGTCTATAGTCTAGTCTATAGTCTAGTCTATAGTCTAGTCTATAGTCTAGTCTATAGTCTAGTCTATAGTCTAGTCTATAGTCTAGTCTATAGTCTAGTCTATAGTCTAGTCTATAGTCTAGTCTAGTCTATAGTCTAGTCTATAGTCTAGTCTATAGTCTAGTCTATAGTCTAGTCTATAGTCTAGTCTATAGTCTAGTCTATAGTCTAGTCTATAGTCTAGTCTATAGTCTAGTCTATAGTCTAGTCTATAGTCTAGTCTATAGTCTAGTCTATAGTCTAGTCTATAGTCTAGTCTATAGTCTAGTCTATAGTCTAGTCTATAGTCTAGTCTATAGTCTAGTCTATAGTCTAGTCTATAGTCTAGTCTATAGTCTAGTCTATAGTCTAGTCTATAGTCTAGTCTATAGTCTAGTCTATAGTCTAGTCTATAGTCTAGTCTATAGTCTAGTCTATAGTCTAGTCTATAGTCTAGTCTATAGTCTAGTCTATAGTCTAGTCTATAGTCTAGTCTATAGTCTAGTCTATAGTCTAGTCTATAGTCTAGTCTATAGTCTAGTCTATAGTCTAGTCTATAGTCTAGTCTATAGTCTAGTCTATAGTCTAGTCTATAGTCTAGTCTATAGTCTAGTCTATAGTCTAGTCTATAGTCTAGTCTATAGTCTAGTCTATAGTAGTCTATAGTCTAGTCTATAGTCTAGTCTATAGTCTATAGTCTATAGTCTAGTCTATAGTCTAGTCTATAGTCTAGTCTATAGTCTAGTCTATAGTCTAGTCTATAGTCTAGTCTATAGTCTAGTCTATAGTCTAGTCTATAGTCTAGTCTATAGTCTAGTCTATAGTCTAGTCTATAGTCTAGTCTATAGTCTAGTCTATAGTCTAGTCTATAGTCTAGTCTATAGTCTAGTCTATAGTCTAGTCTATAGTCTAGTCTATAGTCTAGTCTATAGTCTAGTCTATAGTCTAGTCTATAGTCTAGTCTATAGTCTAGTCTATAGTCTAGTCTATAGTCTAGTCTATAGTCTAGTCTATAGTCTAGTCTATAGTCTAGTCTATAGTCTAGTCTATAGTCTAGTCTATAGTCTAGTCTATAGTCTAGTCTATAGTCTAGTCTATAGTCTAGTCTATAGTCTAGTCTATAGTCTAGTCTATAGTCTAGTCTATAGTCTAGTCTATAGTCTAGTCTATAGTCTAGTCTATAGTCTAGTCTATAGTCTATCTATAGTCTAGTCTATAGTCTAGTCTAGACTATAGTCTAGTCTATAGCATAGTCTATTGTCTAGTCTATAGTCTAGTCTATAGTCTAGTCTATTGTCTAGTCTATAGTCTAGTCTATAGTCTAGTCTATAGTCTAGTCTAGTCTATAGTCTAGTCTATAGTCTAGTCTATAGTCTAGTCTATAGTCTAGTCTATAGTCTAGTCTACAGTCTAGTCTATAGTCTAGTCTATAGTCTAGTCTATAGTCTAGTCTATAGTCTAGTCTATAGTCTAGTCTATAGTCTATAGTCTAGTCTATAGTCTAGTCTATAGTCTAGTCTATAGTCTAGTCTATAGTCTAGTCTATAGTCTAGTCTATAGTCTAGTCTATAGTCTAGTCTATAGTCTAGTCTATAGTCTAGTCTATAGTCTAGTCTATAGTCTAGTCTATAGTCTAGTCTATAGTCTAGTCTATAGTCTAGTCTATAGTCTAGTCTATAGTCTAGTCTATAGTCTAGTCTATAGTCTAGTCTATAGTCTAGTCTATAGTCTAGTCTATAGTCTAGTCTATAGTCTAGTCTATAGTCTAGTCTATAGTCTAGTCTATAGTCTAGTCTATAGTCTAGTCTATAGTCTAGTCTATAGTCTAGTCTATAGTCTAGTCGATAGTCTAGTCTATAGTCTAGTCTATAGTCTAGTCTATAGTCTAGTCTATAGTCTAGTCTATAGTCTAGTCTATAGTCTAGTCTATAGTCTAGTCTATAGTCTAGTCTATAGTCTAGTCTATAGTCTAGTCTATAGTCTAGTCTATAGTATAGTCTATAGTCTAGTCTATAGTCTAGTCTATAGTCTAGTCTACAGTCTAGTCTATAGTCTAGTCTATAGTCTAGTCTATAGTCTAGTCTATAGTCTAGTCTATAGTCTAGTCTACAGTCTAGTCTATAGTCTAGTCTATAGTCTAGTCTATAGTCTAGTCTATAGTCTAGTCTAGTCTATAGTCTAGTCTAGTCTATAGTCTAGTCTATAGTCTAGTCTATAGTCTAGTCTAGTCTATAGTCTAGTCTATAGTCTAGTCTAGTCTAGTCTATAGTCTAGTCTATAGTCTAGTCTATAGTCTAGTCTATAGTCTAGTCTATAGTCTAGTCTATAGTCTAGTCTATAGTCTAGTCTATAGTCTAGTCTATAGTCTAGTCTATAGTCTAGTCTATAGTCTAGTCTATAGTCTAGTCTATAGTCTGATCTATGTTCTAGTCTATAGTCTAGTCTATAGTCTAGTCTATAGTCTAGTCTATAGTCTAGTCTATAGTCTAGTCTATAGTCTGATCTATGTTCTAGTCTATAGTCTAATCTAGTCTATAGTCTGGTCTACATTCTATACTTTAGTCTATAGTCTTGTCTAAAAGTCTAGACTGTGATCATTTCTATCACAGGCGCTCCACCGTTTGAGTTGAGCATTTTGCTTTAATTTTAAATTTTCCTTCCGTTTTACCAATAAATTGTAACCCCCCCTGGATCTGCACATGCCACAATAATACGATTGTGTTTCAGCTTATCAAAAATTAAGGTTAAAGATCAATATATACGAAAAGATCGAAACTCCTTGATCAGTCATCATATAGTCTCAACAACATAATTGTATATTAGCTTATCAATAATAAATTATAAGATCAAAGTTATTTAAATCGCCTATTACAGAAAAATGATCTTGACCAATACAAGAAAACAGAAAATTAAACAGAACGCAATACATTTACATTGATAATAAATATTTGCTTAGTACTTCTTACGCCACTGCTAATTAATTGGTCAACACTGTAAGAAAAATCACTCAAATCATACTCGTAGCGAAGCGTTTTACAAACAAATTCTCGACTTGCAACTGAGTCAAAATGCAATTTAGTTTAGTTTTAACGGTCAGCCAGACAAGTTGCACACTGGTCTTAGAAATTAAAAATAAAAAACAAATATAAAATTCTTAACTGCAACAAAATTGAACATGTAAACGTATTATTATTAATCTAACAAATCAATAAACAAATAAGAAGCGAATAATATAAATAAAAACAAAAACAATAAAGTACTTGAAACATTATCTAAATCTTTCTTTAACAAAGGTTATTAAATAAAAGAAAAACAAATAAAAAATCTACAAATAAACGTATAAAATATCAATAAAAGTTGCAAAAAATATACATACTTGAGTAATTTTAAAATTTTAAATTAATGAGTGCAAAACGGCCAGACGGTTGTGTTTTTCGAAAGAAAACAGTAAATTGCAAAGAAAATTATCAAAAAAGCAAGAAATCAATTAGAAAATATATAGAAAAATAGCTTAAAAATCATAATAACGTCGCAAATTAACGGGAGTGGCTAAATATTAACGAAAATGTTTTAATATTCGTAATAATTCGTCAAATAAGAAAACAAAATAAATAAATCTCTTTAAAATTCTAACAAAATAAGTGTCGAAAGAAAAAAAATGTCTGATAACGAGGATCAATTACAATTGCCAATGAAAACTACAGCGACAGCGGCAAAAACAACACATAGTAATGGTGATATTTTACATGAAAATTCTATATTATCATCCAACAACACACAACAACCCTCTTCTTCATCCGGCTATTTTATTAGTTCCAACAACTTGAGATTACATTTCAGCAATATTAATTATGTTTATAAACAAAGTAAGTGCAACAAACAATATTTCGTGGAAATATTTTATATATTCGTCATCATTATAATCATGTGCTGAATTATTGTTCTCAAGAAACAACAATTGTAATTGTGATATATCATAATAACTGAACTATAACCGGCAATGTCTATAGCTAATGTTTGAAAGAGTGATTTCTTTGTTGATTGAAATATAAAATATTTCTCAGTGATAATCAGGCTTGGGGTAGTAATAATTATATAAAGTAATTCATTACATAGTCAATTACAATTACTTGTAATGTGTAAATGAAAAAAAAAAACAATTGCAAGTAATTGTATTTGAAGTTGTTCCAATTACAATTACTGAGATTCTTCAGTTAAAAATAATTGTAATGTTGGGAAAGCTTCAATTACAATTACTTCAAATATAATTGTAAATGTAATCATTACCCAGCCATTAAAAGTATTGTGATTATATATTCGAAAGGAATAGAGGATTGGGTAAAAATTGTCTTAGTTTGTGTCCATAAAGCATATGTGAGAAGCTACGACTATCCGGAGTTAATCAACCTAATCAAAGTTAACCCCTTCATGAACTGCTATATAATTGAACCAGACGATCAGAGTGGATTCCGTAAGATACACAGTAATAATATTGTGATCATATATTCGAAAGGAATAGAGGATTGGGTAAAAATTGCCTTAGTTTGTGTCCATAAAGCATATGTGAGAAGCTACGACAACCTGGAGCTAATCAACCTAATCAAAGTTAACTCTTTCATGAACTGCTATATAACTGAACCAGACGATCAGAGTGGATTCCGTAAGATACACAGCACCACCTCAGCATTAACCGCCATAACCACTCAGACCTTACCAGACCTTGTGAATGGGCACTTCTAGTGGCGCTGGACTTATCGAAGCTATTCAATACAATCAGCCATACCACACTTTTCCAGGACTTCCAGCAGCCTACCATGACCAACAACTTGAAGAAATGGATTGTGAATTATTTGAGTGGTCGTCAGTAGTTCGTTGAGTTTAGAAACAAGTGTTTAAAAGGCCGTAGAATCAAACAAGGAGTACCAAAGGGAGCTGCCCTATCTCCCCTACTGTTTAACATCCACCTCTCTAAACTCCCCACACCTCGACGACTGTACCATGATGGCGACGGGCCTAAACGTTGATAAGCTATGTGATCGAGTGAATGGTTATCCCTGAAACTATCACCAGCGAGTTAAGAGAAAAGTGTTCAAAAACCCATAGAGTTAAACAAAGAGTACCAAAGGGCGGTGTCCCCCTACTATCTAATGTCTACCTCTCTAAACTCCCCACAACTTAACAAGGTGTGGAAGTTACACCATTATGGCGACTGGCCAAAACGTCGATGTGCTATGTGATCAAGTGAATGAATATCACTGAAACTATCACCAGCGAAGTCGTGATAGTTTCAAGGATAACCATCGACTAAGACGTCTATCAGACGTCGTAGTCGATGGAACCCGAGTACCGACTGTTAACCACTCGGACTGTAAAGATTTTGGGGCTCACCTTTGACAGTCTGTTTACCTCCTCGGATCATGCCACTGTAATTATGAGCAGATTGCGAAGTAGAAACAAGATCATCAAAGCGCTAGCTGGCAACACTTGGGAAATGGACAAAGAATCCTTGTTGGCTACCTATAAAACAATTGGCAGATCAGTGGTCAATTATGCTGCTCCAGTGTGATCTCCTTCGCTGAGTGATACCCAGTGGAGAAGTATTCAAAGCTGACAAAATGCTGCCCTACGGACTGCAGCGGGCTGCATGCAAATACCGGAGGAGTTATGTCAGAAAGGACCTTTGTGTATACGAAGAGATCCTACGAAGAAATGTGCAGTATACCTTGGATCGTAATTCGTTAACAACAGCTTTGAACGACATTCCTAGAAACGCCATCATACCGCGTTTTCAGGTTACCGCATTAATGTCGCCCACCGCCAATAGCAGAAATAGGGAAGAACCTGCCGCGGTTAACAAGAGTTGAAAGTTTTGACTCGCTATTTGTTTCGATCGATGTAGATCACTAATGAATGTATTGACCTACTGGTCATATAGACCAAAACTTAGACCGTCGAAAAACTTTTTGTATCTATCGATGCCACTCTCACTCTCTCTTTCTAATATAAGCTTCACTTTAGAAGAGCTTATTCGACATTGGCCCCAAAAAAGTAGTCTTTTGACGTGGAATTCATACCGGAATGATGGTAAAAAGTCATGGCTAACAATGGCCAATTGTTCGTATAAGTTCTATTGAACTTGGAATTTTGAATTTTCTAGCGAAACTGCAGTGATCCCACCGATAAAAAATTTTAGCTTAGTATTAACATAATCATAACTTTTGCTAATTCATTTAGCACTTTTATTTTGTCGATAATCAAGCGATTAATTAGAATTGTATGTATATAATGTTGAAGAACACATTAATCAATAATCGGCTAGACAACAATTACAACAACATTCGAAATTTGGATAATTGTTATCAACTTTGAAATGGTAGAAATAAAAATGCTGATAATTTATTAAAAATTTAACATGCATTTTTTAATCATATTCTTCTTTTAGAGTTCTTTAAGAATACTTTCTCAAATGTCTTCGGCAGAAAGATAGTTAAGCTACTAGGTTGGGACTGTATTCTGGTATCAAGAATTGTGCTATGGAAAAATCTGGTTTCTAGCATAAATCTGAGTTAGAAACTAAGTAACTGCAGTAATAAACGGATCAATTGTTTGGACAATATGGAAATATGACACCGATTAGTTGAAATCGGAACCCCTAGGAATACGGTAGAAAAAAGATTAATTCCTTTGGTTAATTGTTTTTGAGTTTCACAACCATTAGGCACCTGTTTCCACGACAATAGGATCTTCGCTCCGAAACGACCCGAATCATACCGAACAAAGATTTTCAACATCTTAAAAGGTACATCAGCCGAAAGTTTATCCCCTAGGAAATAACTATCGTCCACAGTCGAACTGTTACAACAACCCTTATCAGACATACATACGGAGAGGTTTATAACGTTGTCAAATGGTAAAATCTCAATAGTTATTATGATGACCTTAGAACACTAACGTTATAATATTTTAAACTTGGTGGATTTAGTATGTAGATTAGCCAATTACAGAGAGAAGTAATTCAGGGAATTTTGTTTTCCATTATTAATAACTATTGATGCTAATTGAAATCTATTTGTATAATGACCTTTTTATGATCTTGCAAAATTAATTACTGTGCTTTTAAGATTAAGCAACTAAAATAATAATAAGTTTAACTAAAAACCATAAACGTGTGTCATAAAAATGTAACTTTTGACCTGAGTTTTATACATTACGGCCGAAAATAATATAGAGATAAAATCATTCTAGAGATTTACAGACCGAATAATAATTAAAATATTAAGTAATAAATATATTAAGTAATATATTTATTACTTAATAATGTATCAAATAATTTGATTGATTGTTCTCAGATAAACTGTTAAAATTATATTTAGATCACAAGGATTCAAAACTTTTTTTCGAAAATTTCGAAAATATGTTTAAAGCTTCCAAACGCCCCGCATGTGATACTCCAGAGTATTTGGGTTCGTTGTAGTTCAGTGTATAAATTCATCCTCGTCCCATTGGAGTCACTCACAAGGTTCTTTGTGGTCCTGCTTACGATTAAATCATTCCTAAGTGTCCTATGATTATTGCATAGGCCTTTAGTCCTATAGTCAGTCATAGGCATAGTCAGGTTAGTCTAGTGTCTAGTCTATAGTCTATTAGTCTATAGTCTAGTCTATAGTCTAGTCTATAGTCTAGTCTATAGTCTAGTCTATAGTCTAGTCTATAGTCTAGTCTATAGTCTAGTCTAGCTATAGTCTAGTCTATAGTCTAGTCTATAGTCTAGTCTATAGTCTAGTCTATAGTCTAGTCTATAGTCTAGTCTATAGTCTAGTCTATAGTCTAGTCTATAGTCTAGTCTATAGTCTAGTCTATAGTCTAGTCTATAGTCTAGTCTAGTCTAGTCTATAGTCTAGTCTATAGTCTAGTCTATAGTCTAGTCTATAGTCTAGTCTATAGTCTAGTCTATAGTCTAGTCTATAGTCTAGTCTATAGTCTAGTCTATAGTCTAGTCTATAGTCTAGTCTATAGTCTAGTCTATAGTCTAGTATAGTCTAGTCTATAGTCTAGTCTATAGTCTAGTCTATAGTCTAGTCTATAGTCTAGTCTATAGTCTAGTCTATAGTCTAGTCTATAGTCTAGTCTATAGTCTAGTCTATAGTCTAGTCTATAGTCTAGTCTATAGTCTAGTCTATAGTCTAGTCTATAGTCTAGTCTATAGTCTAGTCTATAGTCTAGTCTATAGTCTAGTCTATAGTCTAGTCTATAGTCTAGTCTATAGTCTAGTCTATAGTCTAGTCTAGTCTAGTCTATAGTCTAGTCTATAGTCTAGTCTATAGTCTAGTCTATAGTCTAGTCTATTTCATAGTCTATACTCTAGTCTAGTTTATACTCTAATCTAGTATATACTCTAGTCTAGTCTATACTCTAGTCTAGTTTATACTCTAGTCTAGTCTATACTCTAGTCTAGTCTATACTCTAGTCTAGCCTATACTTTAGTCTAGTCTATACTCTAGTCTAGTCTATACTCTAGTCTAGTCTATACTCTAGTCTATACTCTAGTCTAGTCTATACTCTAGTCTAGTCTATACTCTAGTCTAGTCTATACTCTAGTCTATTCTATACTCTAGTCTAGTCTATAGTTTAGTCTATTATCTAGTCTAGTCTATTGTCTAGTCTAGTCTATGGTCTAGTCTATAGTTTAGTCTATAGTTTAGTCTATTGTCTAGTCTAATCTATAGTCCAGCCTATAATCTAGTCTATAGTCTAGTCTAGTCTATAGTCTAGTCTATAGTCTAGTCTAGTCTAGTCTAAATGTTCTTCTTTCTTGTGAAAAGGCAGATTTTATTCTTCGACGGATTAATATTCAAGTCACTTGACTATGTCCTGCGAAAATCCGTCAAGGTTAATATATATTTTAAGGTGTAACTTATTGACTTAACAACACAGCAATTTATATATCCAGGGACTATATTCAATAGTCGCTATCTGTCATTTTTATGAAAATGAGATTTTGATGGCAAAATATTCAGCAAACTATCGCGCATCAGTGATATAAATTTCAAAGAAAAAAAATATTTTTTGGCAATTTTATAGCATTTTTTAAATTTCTCTATCTTAAAAAAAGAAAAATTCTGAATGCAAAACTCTCTATCTTATCCAAAAATTGCTTCAAACTCGATCCCTTTGGATAATTTTCTGTTGCAAAACAAGTCTTCTTAATAATTTGGACATGCTGAACACAAATCCGTCAAAATATTTAAAATCGGCCTAATAGTTTTTGAGATATCGCTCATTATGATACTAATTAAATCAATTTTATTGTCGTGTTTAACCATATAACATTGATTTTGGACCAAAACATTATAATCTGTTGCTTTTTCAACAATTTGGTTTCTTTTCCTCCATTAAATTGTATAAAATATAATATTTATTGATTTTAATTCAAATAAAAATTTTATGTTTCCATGAAAAACTCTATCTGTTGGTTGAATGAACATTTTCGTAGAAAAATAAGCTCTATCTGATATAAATTTGTGAATAATTTTGTAAATAATGCAAAAATTAAAATTCTTTTTATATAATGGTTTAGAATATGGTCGTAAAAATATATTGTAAAAGAAAAAATTAAAAAATCTTCACGAACTAGCGAAATAAACAGTTTTTTTGCTCTCCTGAAAACTTGTATTATTTTAGATAGAGACTATTGAATATAGTCCCTCGATATGCTTTATAATTCCTATTAAGCGCTAAAAATAAAAATTCGCACTATAACCAATCGAGAAAGTATAGATGTAGTACAACTAAATAAAAAAACTTTTATTGCTTATAATATAGATTATCATAATCTGATTTTAGTTCTTTGTAAATAGAATTAAATTTTGTGTTATAAGACATTATTTAATTATTTCATTTGCTTATATTCCGTTAAAACACGATTAAATAAAATGATTAGATTATAAATAAATGCAATATTTATTATCTTTAGCAAACAAATTTAGCAAATATATGTATAATATAGAGAGAAAACTATTATTAAATGTAATTAAAGAGTGTTTTGATATAATAGGTCGTATTTAATTAATGGTAATTAAGATTTCCCTTTTAATTAATGGTAATTTAAGATTTAATTGAGAAAAAAATTCAAGTGGCGAGGTTGATAAGCTAAAGATTTTCCGAAAAGAAGGGTCTTGTTTTATCAGAAATCCATAAATCTTTTTTTAAATAATCATTTAAAATAAGGAATTAATAAAATTGATTGACTTACCCCATATTTCTTGCAGAAAATAAAATACTACACGATGCTTGTGGTGAATTCAAATCTGGACGTTTAACAGCCATTCTGGGTCCCTCAGGTGCTGGTAAAACTTCCATGTTAAATGTTCTCTCAGGTTTTAAGTATGTTTGTTGTAAGATCAGTATTAGTATATTTTTCTTATTTTATTTCTTTTTATTTTATTTACTTTAGAGCTTCCGGGGTTAGCGGCAATTTTCTTATAAATGGCGAAGAAAGAAATTTAATAGAGTTTCGTAAAATGTCCTCGTATATAGCGCAAGACTTTGCCATGTTGGATCTGTTGACGGTAGAAGAAACATTGAAAATATCAACTGAATTAAAATTATCAACACAGACCAAGCAAAAAGAAAAGGAACAAATTGTAAGTGTTTAATAGTTAATATAAGAATAACTAATAATAATTCCCCTTTCCAATAGATCAAAGATATATTACTAATGCTTAATATGGAACGCAGTCGCCATACTTTAGTACGTAATCTATCGGGAGGTGAACGCAAACGTTTATCTATAGGCGTGGAATTGGTTACAAATCCGCCTATAATGTTTTTCGATGAGCCCACCAGTGGTCTAGATAGTGTGGCCAGTTTTCAGGTTTTAACGTATTTGAGGAGATTAGCTCGTGATGGCCGTCTAATAGTGTGTGTTGTTCATCAGCCCAGTTCACGTTTAATGCAATTATTCGATGATATTTTAGTAATGTCCGATGGTCGGGTATTATATTCGGGTGCTCAAGAACAAATGATTAATTGCTTTCAAAAGGCCGGGTTTGAATGTCCTCAATACTATAATCCTGCAGATTTTGGTGGGATTTGGAAAAAGCTTTACCAAATAAACGTATTTTATAATGTGTATTATTTTACAGTTCTAGAGGTCAGCAGTGATGTGGATAATCCAAATTTAAGAAAACTTATTGATAACAATCATTTAAAACATGCCCTAAAATCTATTCCCTCCAGTGGCACTGAAACTAGTAGGTTTTATTATTAAATTATTATTTATTTAATGAACTTTTTCTTAAATTATTTTAGTGGGCCTTTTAACAAACTCAAGTTCTCACATATCGTTGGATATGAATACTTTAACATTAGCTGCAATAACGAGTTCACATTGCCAGCTGGATAATTGTGCATTGCGGCCCAAGGAACAGGTAACGGTTTGGCGTCAATTTGTGGTGCTAATGAAGAGATCAATGACTTCAATGTGTAGGAATATGGTAAGTGCAAATGAATATTTTATTGAAATTTGAAAATTTCATATAACTAAGATCTCTTAAACAGTTCTTTGATGTCGAAATGGTTACAATTTGAGAATTGTATTCCCATTTCGTTGGAAAAGAAGATTCTCAAATGCAATAGGTGGCAGAATGCGTTTCAGCCAGTATAATCCTGTAAGGATTACGATGCTTTTCTCCACTTTTAGAAAAAAGTATTCCCATTTCCTTGCAGGAAACGATTCTCAAAAATCTTCGCAATAGGTAACAGAAAGCGTTTCAGCCGCTAGTATCCTTTAAGGATGAGGATAACTACCGTTTCAAACTGTTCCTTGATGTTGAAATAATTACAATTAGAGAACCGTATTTCCTTTTCCTTGGAGAAGAAGTTTCTCAAAACTCTTCACAATAGGCGACAGAATGCGTTTCAGTCTGTAGGATCCTTGAAGGATTAGGATAACTGTACCTTTTTCCTGTCATTCTATATGACAAGGCTACTTGTTTCCCAGACAATTGGATCTTCGCTTCGGATGGCCAAAATCTCCATCGTCCAAAGATTGTCAAGTCTGTAAAAGTTGTTCCCCCACGAAATAGACTCCTTCAACAGCGGAACTGTTATAACAACTAGGCTTACTTATCACTGACATGTTGATTACCTTTGTTAGTTGGTCAACAACCCGCTCAACAAATTGTCTCAACATCAAGATGAATGTTCTGTCGGGCACCAACTTAAGAAGGCTAAACTATTTGCAAGACTAGAAGAATCTTAAGTTTAGGATATCTCTACCTTTTTCTGGTGAAAGTTTTTGCCCAGAGAATAGCTTCTTTTAACAACTGGGTTATCCATAGATATGTTGATTAACTTCAAACTGTTTTCTTGGGTTTGTTCCTTGATTGCTAGAGAACTTCAATTAGAAAGTCCTGTTCCTATTTCGAGGACGTCAAAGGAAAACTGAGTTGAAAAGAACAACAATTAAAGTATTTTCCACATAATTTCTTCTGATATCGTGGAACGCGTATGTTTATGATCACTGAAACTGTATTTCGTATTCTTGGGATTGTTCCTTCTTTTCGATAGGAAATCATACCCAAATCTCCTTTCATTTCATAAGAATTTCAATTAAAAGGTCGTACTCCCATTTCCTTAATTTCGAAAGAAATGCAATCATACTCTCATTTCTTGCGATATCGACGAACTAAGTTAAGTTAATTGAGCAGGTTGTTCCGTGTTTTTCCCCCATTGGAGACACACTTCAGGCCATCAAAAATTGTTCACTTAATGATAGCTTTAAAGAATTGTGATTAGTTACTATCCAATCCAGTTTGTCGCACGAAAAAATGAATTTATCTTTAGGATATTCACCTCGGATACGTTTGTCAAGACCTGCTAATAATGAATTAAGGGCGTGTCAAAACTATGTTTCGCTAGGGCCTAACTATGGCAAAGAAAGTTATATTATCTTATTTGTCTTGGTTACTTTACAGAAGTCGTTATATGAAGTATTAAGTATCCTAGGCCAAAATTTAAAAGGACAATGACCGATAGCTACTGCAATTATGTTCCATAGAAGAGCTCGGGAGAAATTTATTAAGGGTGATGCTCGTGGTTGGTTGTATGATCTCCAAATTGTCTTCACCGTTCTACAGGTAGCCTCATTTGACCACCTGATTCATGCGGGGGTGTCCGAAAAGCGGTATACCAACAAAACTATCGGTATATTCCTCTGCTAGTGAAATACCAGAGAATCTGCAATATATTGTCAGGTATCTGTTGTCGCCATCTCACTTAAAGATAACCGGCATTCAAGAACCAACCCTTATCGAAGCTCGACTTACAGTATATACATATATATCAACTTCGTATATGTTGTATATATCCTCAATAATATTACCAGGAATCTGTTGATAACTCAGAATTCAATACAGTCCACTTCGTAATGATTTGCCACATCAGATGATAGGTATCAATTCCATATACACGACTGGAAGCCCCGATCGCACGATTTTTGTTTTAGTGTCGTCGGTGTTAATCATGTACGAGACATCGCAGATGATTACATCCATCTCATTCAGATTTACACGGAGATCAAACTATTTTCGGGATAAAGCTTTGATTTCCAGAGAATTTCAATTAGAACCTTCTGTTTCTATTGCCCTCAAGTTGAAAGAATATTGGACCCAAAAATATCTTAAAAACCGACCGTTTTTACGACGAGACAGGGTTTCGGTTTTTATACAACATTCGTTTTTTTCGACATCAAAGAAACTATATTCAAAAATTGCAAATGTTATTTTCTCAATAAAGACGAAAACTTCTTCATTCTCTCATCTTTCCAGATTGCTGTACAACTGCGCATTATAATGCACATAGTGGTGGCCATACTATTGGGCATTGTTTTCTGGAATATTGGCAATGATGGTGCGAAAGCTTTAACCAATTCTTCCTGTATATTTTTTGTGGTAATGTTTGTATTCTTTGGTAATGCTATGCCCTCCATATTTCTATGCCCGCAAGAATGTGCTGTTTTCATTAGAGAATATCTAAATGGCTGGTATTCTATAAAAGCCTATTATATGGCTAAAATTGTATCAGATTTACCACTACAATTTATATGTCCTACACTCTTAATGTCTATAGCCTACTATATGACGGGACAGCCTCATGATGTGGGACGTTTTGTCATGTGTTGGGGTATATGTCTGCTAACGTCCATAATAGGACATTTTATTGGTTTGGTATTTGGTTCCCTGTTTGATATGCAGGTGAGTTTTTTTTTTTTTGATTCAATATATAAAAAACAAGTTCTTTAAATCTCTTTTATTTTCAGTTGGGTGTCTTTTTGGTGCCCGGTGTTACCATACCCATTATGATATTTTCCGGTTTCTTTATACGCATTTATGAGGTGGCCTATTTTTTGAGATTTTTATGTGATATTTCATTTTTCCGTTATTCTTTGGAGGGTTTTATGCGTGCTTTATACGCTTATGACCGTCCCATTTTAAATTGTACGGAGGATTTTTGTTATTATAAAAATCCTGCCAAGTTTTTAAAGGACTTGGGCATGTCGGGAGATTTTTATGGTTGTGATGTTGGTGCTTTACTTATATGGATATTGGTATTGAAGATTTTATTTTTTATTAGTTTAGTAATACGTATTAAAAAGGCTCAATGAATTTTTGTAATTAATATTAGACTTAAGTATGGACTAAGGCAATATGTTATTTTTTTTATTTATGATTGTTAAATAAATACTCTATTTTTGTAATAAAATTAAACTAAACTTTAATCTAAGAGTTTGAAGCTGAGGTTCTAACCCAATAATTGTTCTATTTGTACTGTATTAGTCCATAAATCCATTGGACTAAATGAGGTATGTATGTTTATAAGACGGATGGAAATGTGGCTCTCTATTATAGACGATTCTACACCGCTTTATTTATGGGATCTCTATGAAGTACATTTAAATCTAATGTATACTGCAATCCTAATGAGAGGATGTTGTGAACAAATTCACGGACCTACTAAAGGAAGGCTGTGATATTTTACGGTGGTGGACTAAGGAACTTAGAATTCAAAGGTCTACTGTTAGGAAATAGGGCTAAGCTTACAGGTCAAGGGCTAAGCCTTTGACTGGAACAACTACAAAAAGTATAAAGCGAATTTCAAAAAAGAATTTCATGGTCCCAGTACTGTAAATGCATTGATAATGTCAAAATGTTGTCCAGATTCCGACGGATACGTCCATAAGAGAGCTCATGGACGGAGTTTAGCTCTGAAGTATAAAGCGGATTTCACGGTCCCAGTACTATTAATCTATTAATAATGTCAACAAGTTGTCCAGATTTCGACGGATACTATCCCAAAGGTCTTACCTTACATCCAAATGAGTGAAAGCTCATGGACTTTGACTCTACTTATGGACACTCTTAGACTTTGACTCTACTTATAGACACTACATTTTCCGGGTTGTCTGGCAAACTGAAGGTGTGGTTGACAACCAATGGAACTTTGTGTCAAGTCGCACCTCCAGTTGTATAGAGGAGATAGTCACTAGGAAAAGTTAGTAGGGCCGGTCAATCCAATCGACCCTCTGAATACACCGGGGTCGGATGACATATTTGCCACTCTACTAAGGAAGCTGCCTCTTCTGCTGATTATTTATAGCAGATACCTTTGCAGTAGTAGGCCGGTAAGACAGGCCACTCAAAGCCAAACGATTTTAGACCTATCATCTAAAGGTAAATTTGTTGAAAGTGCGTTGCATGAGGTGGTAAGTTGTATTGAGCACGGCTTGAAGAATAGGGACGATACTCTTGCCGCATTTTTGGATATAGAGGAATCAATACCAATTCAGTTAACTCTTTCAAATCACCGGGGTCGGATAGCTATTTCCCGCTCTACTAAGGAAATTACCTCTTCTGCTGATTATTTATATTTATATTTGCAGTCGTAGGCCGGGAAGGGAGGTTACTCAAAGCCCAACATTTTTAGACCTATCATATACTTAATAGTGAAATTCATATCATTATTGACGCTCAACATGCCAACCTTAAAGGTAAATCTGTTGGAAATGCGTTGCATGAGATTATAAGTTGTATTGAGCACGGCTTAAATAATATGGACGATACTCTTGCTTCGTTTTTGGATATAGAAGGAGCTTTCAATAATAAGAGATTTAGGCGACGAAACGGGGGGTTATTTTATACCTCCTATTGTGGCTACTTCATTCAAAAGGCAGGAATATCGTGGCTTAGGTTAGCTCTTGATATGGGCGAGAGCAAAAGGACTGAACTAGTATTATTTACCAGACGGTATAAGTTAGAAAAGTTTGGGCAGCCAATGCAAGAATGAAGTTTATCTAGAGGAGTTTAGTATTTAGAATGAGGAAGGCACTCAATGAATTGAATTTGAACTCATGCAAAAATTCTATAAGTAAGAATTGCGGTAAATTGGATTAACACTTCGGTTGTTAGGCATATCCTAATTTATAGTATTGTCTAGTGATAGCTTTCAGAGAGAACAGTTATCGGAAGATGCTCAATAAAGCTTAAAGGTGTGACTCTATTAACATTACTGGTGTCATTATTAATACTCCACAAGAGACCTTGGACATCATTCTTTATCTTTCAACTATAAAACATTTTGTAGCGAGTAACGCGGCTAGGAATCTATTAACACTCTATGAGTCTTCGTTAATTAAAACTTACTTGATCATAGTAACTCCCCTTGTGGAATTACAGATCATAGATTCAAGCAGAGATCCTAGTGATGTGGAAAGCGACGGAAATGATACGGAATCATATAGATCTTAGGTCAGTTGTGACAATTCACATATGACGATAGTTTAGCTGCTGTTAGAGCATTGGCAAGTTATACATTCGCGCCAGTTTGTAGATTGTAGAAATGTTTTTAGGTTGAAAACAACTTAAAAATCGACCTGTCATAAGGACAGGCATGGAAGAACATCGATTAAACTAAATGTCATATTTAACGCAGATAAAGAAATATTGATCTTTATATTTAAATAGTTAATGTTAACTAAAAGATACGCCGAACTGAACAGCAGTATCTTCTGATCATTCAAGTTTAAAGCAACATATTGGTTTTTGTACAAATTTATTTAAATTTCTTTAGATTTACTTAAATAACAACTCTGAACACATGGTAATCATCAAAATAGGCGAAGAAAAAATGCAAATAAGGAACTTAAATATAAAACGTTTAAATCATTTAAACTAAACTTTCATTTTAATAATAAGCTTAAACTTAATAATGAGAATACCGAATAGTAAATGAAATAGTTAATAAAACTATTTCAATTAGAAAAAAAAAAATTGGATTTCGAAGCAAACAAAAAACCAATATGGTTAAATAAATGCAAAAAACAAAGAAAAAATTTCCAAAAAAGAAATGAAATATAGAGAGAGAAAGGAAAGAAATAAAAAGAAAAAATATTGTTAAGCATACCTTAGGATTATTTTGTATTTCTTTAAATTAGCAGACCAATCATACTGAAACAGGATTAATTTTTCGTCCGTTGTTAACTTAATTCATTTTAAAGTTTGTAAATTTCCTTAATCGATAGATATAGAAGACATTTCCATCGAATGAGTATCATCATCTTCTTCTGTTTCCACAATATTATGTGCCGCATTCGAAGCTGAAGCCAATGTGCGTCGTGAGTGTATATTTGAAGGTGTATTTGTGGCTATAGAGGTATTGGCTGTCATATCGCTTTCACTTAAAGACATATCATCGCCCACAATCACAGATATTTTACCCTGTTGTACATCCAGTGTACCTTGACTTGTGCTGGTGCCAACTTCATTGGTCATATTGGCAGAAGTTTTAAAACTTACCGAAGTATCACCACTACCAGCGACTGCTGCAGCAGCCGAACTGGTAGCACGATTGCTCATCATATATTCATTAAATTTAAAGTCACTTAATTCCATATCCATGTCACCATCAGAAGAGGTATCGGCATTTGCTACATTATTGCCAGAGCCTGAAGTACCCCCAGCACCCAGAGATATTAAAATTTTACGTTTATTTTCTATGGTTTTGAGTAAAGATTTAGCTTCAGATTTACGCTTAAATACAAAAACAAAAAGAACAACTTAAAAAAGAAATTTTCTTCAAATATTATACAAACTTACATCATCTGATTCCAAACACTTATAGGCATAATGTGACGCTCTATCATATTCCTCTTTACTCTCATAGTAATTTGCCAATGTCATATAGCCATGATATAAACTTTGTTTATCCGCTGCTGCCCGCTCATCATTACAATACATTATGTAGCATTTTACTGCCAGATCAAGGGCTCCTAGTTTTTCATGTAAATTGGCCATTTTATACATGGCTATACCTTCTATATCACCCACGTCACAAGCTTTACTATAGCATTGTATGGCATTTTCATATCTATCTAGCTTTTCATAGGTTTCACCTAGTGCCACCAACATGCGGCTGTCGTAGGGTCGCAGTTTGTGGGCTATTTTGAAATAGTATAAACTGTAGTGATTCATTTTTAGAATTTCATAAGCTTGACCAAGACCATACCAGGCACGATAATCACGGCGATTGACCTCTAAGGAAAAAAAGAGAGAAAGTGTGTAAGATCGTATTTCAAATAAAATATCATATTTTCGAAAAGGATTGTATTTTCAGTGAAAGATCTTTTTTGAATACCAGAGATCTGTTATTGATTTTATTTTCAATATAAGATCGCATTTTTGAAAAAGATCAAATCTTGAGTGAGAATCGTTGTTTGTTAATAGCAGATTTTTAGTGAATGATCGCATTTTAGAGAAAGATAGGAAGGAGTTCTTGTACTAAAAAGAGGAGATCTCTTCAGTAAAATATTTTCAATAAAATATTGAATTTTCAAAGATGATCAAATTTTCAGTAAAATAAAATTTTTTGTTAATATCAGAAATCTGTAAGTGATCTAATTTTTAGTGAATGATCGTATTTGTGAAAATGATCAGATCTTGAGTGAAGTATCGTTTCTTTTAATATCATAGATCTTTTTTAATAACAGGTTTTCTTTCATTGAATGATCGCATTTTATAGAAAGAACTATTTTTTTAAAAAAGATCGGATTTTCTGCGAAATATCAGATTTACAGTGAAATATCAGATTTTTAAGTGAATATTATATTTTTAGTGAAATATCCGAATTTTATGTAAATAAATCGATTTTTACAAAAACTCGGTGAAAAATCCGGATTTTAGTGAAAAATTCGATTTTTGATGAGTTTTTAGTTTTATGAAAAATCCGGTTTTTAGTGAAATTTCAGATTTTTGTAAAATAAATGAATTTTTGGAGAAAAAATCGAAAGCGACAGACAATGTGAAATATCGGAATTTTGTAAATTTAGAGAAAGGTCCGTTTAGCATAAGATCGATCTTTCAGCGAATGACCGGATTTTTAGAAAGATTGCTTTCAATGAATTTACAGACTCTTTTCAGCGAAATCTCTTTACTACATCCCATAAATAAATTGTAAAATGATACTTACCCACCGCTTTGCGATAACTTTGTATGGCAGCATTTGTATTTTTTACCTCCATAAATTCATGACCCATTAAAGTCCAAGCTGCCAAATATTTGGGATTCAATTTCAAAGCTCTTTGGAAATAAGTAATGGCCATAAAATGATCACAGCGTATGCTATAGTAATTGCCTAAAAAACAATCAAACAAGTAAAACATATTCCTTTAAAAAACGTTTCTATACTCACCTATAACACAACAGGTTTCCGGACGATATTTATTAATACCCTCCACCTTATGGGCCAATTGAGCCATTTCTGTTTTTAACTCCTTAACAAAAAGTAAATTAGAATAAGTATCCATATTGTCCAGACGATATGGATCGGCTTCTTGTAAAGCTTGGAAGATTTCTATAGCTTTATCAACATCTACGAATAGATTAAAAAAAAAAAAACATATAAATACATTTTTTAACAAACCTTAACGGAAAAGACTTACCCCTCTTATTGTGATAGGCCAAGGCCATTTGTGATGTAACATACACACATTTACGAAAGCCAGCTGCCTGTAGATCTTCATACGCTTTCAAACCCTCATCATTCAAATACATTTCTATGTAGGTGTGGGCCACAAAAAAATGCCTCATCCAATGACCACCCAAATGCATGGTCTGCAATTTCTCCTTTTCCTTAATTAAAGGAGCTAATTCCACATAGGAACCCCACAGCATGGGAGCGGCACGTATTGATTGTATGAGTACTTCCTGAGCAGCTTGATTAAGATCTACAGCCTTTAAAACAACACCGTACAAATACATGCCATAACCATCTAAACGACCACGGGAATATTCAGCTTTCAATGTGGCCAACAAATCGGCCAAGTCCTTAACATGTCCCGAATCATTGAGATTCGACTGATCTGTGGTCGAGTCCAATCTTCGCTTCTCCAAGCCCATATAGGTGGCATAGAGATGTAAAAATCTCGGCACAGCCGACTCAGCATTACGCACCAAATAGGCGGCTCGATCATATTCCCTGACATCAAAATAACATTTGGCCAAATAGTAATTATCATATTCCACCGGTGTTATACCGTCCAGAGCCACTTCACTGAAATCGCATTTCTCACTATTCATATCGATGTCAACATCACACAGACCATGGTTCATTTCCGCCAACCATTTGGCACTGTGCAACAGGCCGCGTTTCTGACACTCTACGATGCCCCGCCGTAATTCACGTTTCACATCCTCTAAAGGCACATTGAAGTAATCATCTTCCATTTTTTCACAATTTGAAACTACAAAACACTTTGTTGTACAATTTTGTTTTATTTTTGTGAACAAAATGAAAATTTGCAAACAAATTTGTTTTTTCTTCTTCTTAATTGTGCTCTTTTTACCGGCAATTGATATGTTCAACGTTGTCAACTTTAAAATTTCGAAAAGCACCAAATTGAAGAAAACACGCGTATTTCTCGTAAATAAAAAAATATTTTTCAATTTTTAGAGAAAAAATTGTTTTTATATGTACCATAAAAATAATTTGTTCTTAACTCAGCCATGAGGGATTGTGCTAAAATTTGGTTGAAAGACTTCTTTGGTATAACACTTATTTTTTTCATCGCTGTAGTCGTATTTTTAGTTTAGTCATAAGAGTAATAGTAATTTTCTGAAACGGACTTTATATGCGGATAGGGTCAATTATGAACTGATACTCGTAAAATTTTGTTTTGTAAAAACTTGTTTTCATCGAATTTCATCGCTATTTTCGTATTTTTAAATAAGGAATACTCGTATTTTAAATAAGTAAAACCTTTCCTGAAGGGATCCTTATACAGGGACTATGATCAGTTATAGATCAATCCTTCTCAAATTCGGAATGAAGTATTATGTCACGCATCACATTCTGAAGATGGCTTTATATATGAAGGGTAGGTAAATTTCTAGTAAAATTTGGTAGACCTGTAGATTCTGTTTAATATACATCCTGTTTAGGTATAGAAACAAAAAAACGCTTTCATTTAAAACACATAGAACCTACAATTTCAAAATCATAGAACAGACAATATATTTAACAATTTCAAGAAAATTTAAAAAAATTAAATTAAAATTACTTAAAAAAAATAAGATTTTTTAAATATTTTATAATTTCCTACAAAAAAATATAAAGTTACTTTTAAATTTACTCACTAACTCGAAATTTTTTCGCGTCAAAAAGCACTTTTTAAAAGCACTAAAAACAGTGCTAAAAGCACTAAAAACAGTGCTAAAAGCACAATGCTGGATATTTTCAATTAGAAATCAAAGTCGCTTGAAAATAAATTAACGCCCTTAGAAGGTGGCGTATGCAAAATGTAAACAAAGAAGTAAAACGGATTTTGCACAAATTTGTTAAAGGATAATACAATTATTAATATTGAGAAAGCCAGTTTCTAAAAGTAGTTTTTGTTAAAATGCTTTTTAAATAAATAAATTATTAATAGTAGTTGTGTTAAAAATAAATAGTTTTATGTTATCAATTCATTGTGAATAATTGCATTTATTAGAATTGTAATAGATTTTTGTTTTTTTTTAGTAACAGATGACAGCAGAGCAACAATAAATACAAAAACAACAAGTCTTGCATTGTCAAAATCAGTCTGTTATTATTGTTACAAAATAATTCTTCAAATTAAACAAATAAATTAATTAAATAAATTATTTTTATTAGTTTGAAAATTAAAAAAAAAAAATTGATTTTTCAAGAAATATCGAAGCATAAAAATTAAAAATAAAATTATAAAATAATTATAAACACATAAAAAAATTTATTCTTAAAATTATAAAAAATAACTACATATGTATGTATATACAAAAGTATAAAAAAAATCACAATACTCATAATTACATTCTACACACAATATAAATATAAAACAAGTTAGAGTGCTATATTCGGCTGAGCCGAATCTTAAATACCCTCCACCAGCAACTTTTGTATTAATAGGGGCAGGACCTAGTATGAGAGATATGACCAAATATAGACCGATCGTGAAAAATTTTTGAAATAGCATTAAGTGCTTTTTGCATTACAAAATAGTATTTATGAACAAAAATAGTATTTATTTATATCATTATTTGGTAATGAGTTATGTGCCTTTAAGTGTTTTTCTGAAAGGGAGCTATGATCAATTATGGATCGATAAGAAAACAATTTCACAGTAATATTTCTCTGTATATAAGCAATTTTTTTGCCAAACTTTATATGGATATCTTAATTTAGTAATGAGTTATGTGCGTTTAAGTGATTTTCGGGAGGGGACCTTGTATGAGAGCTATGACCAGTTATGGACCGATCGGAAAAAAAATTATCTGTAATATTTCTGTGCATATGAGTAATATTTGTACCATATGGGTATCTTAATTACGTAATGAGTTATGAGCGTATAAGTGATTTTCGGGAGGGAACCTTGTATGGGAGCTATGACCAATTATGGACCGATCGAAAAAAATTTTCACAGTAATATTTCTGTGCATTTTGGTAATACTTGTGCCAAATTTTATATTGATATCTTAATTTAGTAATGAGTTATGCGCGTTTAAGTGATTTTCGGGAGGGGACCTTGTATGGGAGCTATGATCTATTATGGACCGATCGGAAAAAATGTTCACAACAAAATTTCCGTGCATATGAGTAATATTTGTACCAAATTTTATATGGATATCATAATTTAGTTATGAGTTAAGCGCGTTTAAGTGATTTTCGGGAGGGGACCTTGTATGGGAGCTATGACCAATTATGGACCGATCGGAAAACAATTTCACAGTAATATTTCTGTGCATATGAGTAATACTTGTACCAAACCTTATATGGATATCTTAATTTAGTAATGTGTTATGCGCGTTTAAGTGATTTTCGAGAGGGGACCTTGTATGGGAGCTATGACCAATTATGGACCGATCGGAAAACAATTTCACAGTAATATTTCTATGCATATGTGCAATACTTGTACCAAATTTTATATGGATATCTGAATTTAGTAATGAGTTATGCGCGTTTAAGTGGTTTTCGGGAGGGGACCTTGTATGGGAGCTATGATCAATTATGGACCGATCGGAAAAAAATTTCACAACAAAATTTCTGTGCATATGAGTAATATTTGTACCAAATTTTATATGGATATCTTAATTTAGTTATGAGTTAAGCGCGTTTAAGTGATTTTCGGGAGGGGACTTTTTATGGGAGCTATGACCAATTATGGACCGATCGGAAAAAAATTTCACAGTAATATTTCTATGCATATGAGCAATACTTATACCAAATTTTATATGGATATCTTAATTTAGTACTGAGTTATGCGCGTTTAAGTGATTTTCGGGAGGGGACCTTGTATGGGAGCTATGACCAATTATGGACCGATCGGAAAAAAACTTTCTCAGTAATATTTCTGTGCATATGAGTAATATTTGTACCAAATTTTATATGGATATCTTAATTTAGTTATGAGTTAAGCGCGTTTAAGTGATTTTCGGGAGGGGACCTTGTATGGGAGCTATGATCTATTATGGACCGATCGGAAAAAAATTTCACAACTAAATTTCCGTGCATATGAGTAATATTTGTACCAAATTTTATATGGATATCATAATTTAGTTATGAGTTAAGCGCGTTTAAGTGATTTTCGGGAGGGGACCTTGTATGGGAGCTATGACCAATTATGGGCCGATCGGAAAAAAAATTCACAGTAATATTTCTATGCATATGGGCAATACTTGTGCCAAATTTTGTATGGATATCTTAATTTAGTAATGAGTTATGCGCGTTTAAGTGATTTTCGGGAGGGGACCTTGTATGGGAGCTATGTCCAATTATGGACCGATCCATAAAATTTTTCCTCTGAAAGAATTCTATTGATATAAGATTTTAATTTGTAAAATTTTGTGAAGATATCGACATTGTGGCGGAAGTTATTAACAAAAAAGCCATTTTCCGGGAATATGTACTTTTGTATGGGAGGTATATGAAATTGTGGACCGATTCCGGCAATTTTCAGCAGGGATCAAGATCTTGTGCAGAAACGAATGTGTGGTGATTTCCATGGAATTATCTTGCATAGTTTTCGAGAAAACTACATCAGAATGTGTAAAAAATGCTTATTTTTTTCCGAGGTTGTTTTAAATTTTGATTCATAACTTTTCCCGGTGTGAACCGATTTTGCCCATTTGCAATACCAAACAACTTAGGAAAATGAAGAACATTTTGGGTGAATTTGGTTAAGCTCTATTGCTTCGTTTTATCGTGAGCGTGTTTTACACAGACAGACGGACAGACGGACATAGCTAAATCGACTCAGAATTTGATAAGGACCCAGAATATATATACTTTGTTGGGTCTCAGATGAATATTTCTTGGTGTTACACACGGAATGACAAAGTTATATATACCCTCTATCACCACTGATGGTGGTGGAGGGTATAAAAATAAAAAACGTGATAAAAAATTAATACATTCACACCTTCTTTTGCTTAAAAAATTTTGCTGTGCCTCCCTGGACTTGACCATATGTGGTGGCAACTTTTAAATGTCTCGATATCCATTGCGGCAATTTACGCTGAATATTCTCACGAGCATAACGTTCATCTAACAAGTAAACACAAGCATAATCACGTATATGACGTACCGAACGACCAATACATTGATTAACCGCTTTCATACAAAGATTCTCATAATATTCTGAACCGGAACCCGGACCCAAAGTAGTGTCTAAATAGGACATGCGTTCTTGTAACTCAGGAGAATTACGATTAGGATATGGCATGCCTACAACTATAACGCCACGCCCCAGATCATCGGCAAAGTTGAGGCCCTCACTTAGTTTGGCTCCCACTACACTTAGCAGTAAAGCACCTCCTTGATTGTGCTTGATAGCTTTAGCGTAATCGTTTAATAGTTGCTCTACCGTTTGGCCAGTGGCCGTACTACTTCCAGAACCACTATCATTGCTCGTGATGTTTCTGGGTTCTCTAAAGACACGTTTCTTATTGGAAATTCTTTGTAATACACCCGACTTTTGTAGCTGACCGTAAACTATATCCAAATAATCATATGAGGGTAGAAAACATACCAAGCCAGCTGGTACTACATTGCACAGATTTTCAAGAACTGTGCATAAATCGGAAAGCTATAATATGAAAAGAGAATGATAAAATTTTATATAAATTGAGTTAATGATTATACAATTAGTTACCATTTCATTAGATGATCGCTGGGCATAGTTAAAGCACAAGTTTTTACCTCTGGGTCCTTTTGTTACCACAAATGGTAGAACGGCATCATCGGGCACAACGTGATCATAAAAACGTAACTGTACACGTTCAGGGCAAGAGTTAAAAAGTTGTTCAGTTAATTCGGCTGTGGGTTGCATAGTGCCACCAGCAACTATGATCTGAAAGAATTATTAATTTCTTTAGCAAAGTTATATTAACTCTGTGCTAAATTACTTTAGAAAAGTTGCTTTGACTCCATGCTATAGAAATGTAGCTTTGAATTTAAAAAAGTTTTCAATATAAAAGTTGCTTTGATTGGAAGTTCTTTCGATTGCAAACAGGTTTCTTTAGAGTTTCTTTTTGATCCCATTTTCTGAGTATATTTTTATTGAGAATAATGTAGTGCCTCTAGTTATCTTAAACAAAAAAAAATTCACTTACCGCTCTTGCTTCCTTAACAATATCCTGAAAGTGGCCACCTGGATTTAGCAGAATATATTTAAAACTTGTTTGAGATTCAAAATTTTTAACAGATTCATCAGCAATATTTATTAAGATTCTACCATCATCTGATTTTTCACACAAAGACTCCAAAAATGCTAATAGTGGTCGAATAGGTGAGGTTATGGGGTAAACATTTTTATCCTTTACCATAGGATGTTGCTCCGTATTTGTGTCCAACTCTTCCAGTTTATTTTTTGAAGTTTTCTGCTGTTTTTCCGTATGATCTTTTTGTAGACGTTGTAAAAGACCTATAGCTGCTGATTTGCCACTCGGAGGAGGTTGATTTTCATTAGGATTTGGTTGGGCAGCCAAACGTTTAGCAAAACCCTGCAGTTTTTGAGCAAAACGTGAATTTTCACAAAATTGCAGCAGTTGATAAAGATCTATGTTAAAGAAGTCTCCCTCAGACATTAGTTCATAGGTGCAAAGCATGCGAAAGGAGTTAGAGCTATCTTTGCAACTAGGAGATTTGAGAAGTTTTATCAATCTTTTTATGACAAACAACAATTGATTTATAGACAGCAAATTGGAGGAATTAAAACGCGAGGCATACTTCATTTTATAGGCTAATATCTGTTGATGGGCAGTTTGTAATTGCTGTAAACTCAGTTCACAGCTGTGCATTTGTGATATAGTGTCCAAGAGATTGTGAGCTTCATCTATTATCACTATGGAACCCTTAAGATCAATGCCACTTTGTTGACGAGTGCGTTGATGCAGTAATAGTTGATAAGGCAGCATAATTATTTGAGCCAATTGTGTGGCATTTCTGGCGGCATAATAAGGACAAGCCTGTAGCTGTTCTCCCTCAGTAACTAGATCCTCTATATCTAAAATATCCCCTAAGGATAGATCAGTTAAATCCTGTACTAAAGCTGGAGTTTTAAATTCACATTTTGTTATTGCATTTAGTCCAGCTTTTGATTGAGTTATGCGAGCTTTTTTCTGTACACAACCATCCGTATGACAGGCAGTGGTTTTGGCATTTGTTTTGGACTCTTTGGCCATGTCCAAACATTTCTCATTAATTAGGGCGGTATTATTTAGTTTGCGCAATTGTTTGTGTATACACAACTGTTGACGAGAAGCCAATGAAACACAACGTACGCGTTCACCATATTTTGTACGTTTTATTTCCCTTACCACCTGGGCCAATTGGGTATGAGTACGACTGCAGAAAAAGATTTGTACATCACGATACTTTTCACGTTTTTCGTTGGGGAACAAATGTTCGTCATTATCTGCGGTAAACGAATCATCTAGTAAAATATTGACTTCCTCCGCTACATCTGCGGCTTCAGATTCCTTTTGTTTGTTTAGTGTAATGCTTTTGGTACGCTTTTGTTTCAATACTTTTTGTTTACTTTTAATTTCATTCAATTTCTCCTCATACTCATCCAATAGCTTCTGCATATCCTTTAATTCTAATAGTTCCTGACGTTGCTGTGATGTTTTGGAATGCATCGATAGCCAATCCGTTACTTCTTGAGATTCCTTTTCTAATTTTAATACTTCCTTTTGTACTTCAGACAAACGTTGCAAAAGTTCTTTTCTTACCAACTGCTCATGATCCTCCAACCATTTAAGAGCTGCACATGTAAGTGTTAAGGACTTGCCCGTACCTGTAGGACTTTCAAATATACCAATTTCTTTATTTTCCAATACTTTATACAATTCCTGCATCAATTCTTGTTGTATAGTATAAGGAGCAAAGGGAAAGTTGAAATCCGTGGGACAGGTTAATACTGTTTTAGGTGAATACATCTTGATGAGGTTTAATTAATACTAATAAGGGTTTTCAGGAACTATTTTAACATAATTTGATGGATATTTTTAAATTAAAACATTTTAATTAAAAAACAAGTAAAAAAGAAATCAAATTGATCTTGAGCAACAAAAAATATGTATAATAGAAAAAGGTAAACAAAAAGGCGCCTAAAATCAGTGTTAGCAACATGTAAAACAATTAAAGAAATTAACGATGAAAATAAACAACGTACGAAAAAAATCACTGCTTTAATAAAATTCAATTAAGTCAATATTTTTTATTAAAGATAAAGCAGCAAATGATCCGAAAACTATATTAAATTGGTAGATTTTTAATTGCATTTAAATGTTAGATTTTTAATTGCATTTAAATAAAAATACTTTTTAAAATATAATAAGTGATGCTATATTTAGTTATATATAGTATCTGCAACACCCTGTACTAATTTGTAATAGATTAACTAACCTAAAAATAACTTCTGTAGACAGCTGTTTTTCAGCAGTTGTTTTTTATTATTCTCAGCAGCAAGTTCATCAAAATTGTTATTGTTTTTTACTTCCCTATTAAAAAAACAACCATCAATGTAGTATTATTGATAAAAAAGTTGTTTTTAATCGTATTCAAGCAACGCAAATAAACAATTAATGTGCAACAACAACTAAACAATAATAGCAAAATAAAAATTCAGTGCGAAAATAAACAAGAACAAAATATTTCTTTGTTTGGTAGTGAAAAAAAAAATAAAAACTGAACTACAAAAACTGTTTTTGGTAATAGAAGAAAATAGACACCTTAAAAACGGCGGGAATTTCAGTATAATTATATTTGTGGAACACTTCCATTGTTTATAGCATTTATATTATTAAAAATAGCAACAAATTATTGATCTCTTAAATTTGTCTGTTCACTTGTGTGTTTGTGTAACACAAAAGTATGCGACAGATTCTTTTTTTACTTTTTATCCTTTTAACAATATTTCATGTTGGTCAAGGCTTCTGGCCGTTTTCGCGTAAAAAATCTGCTGCTTCCATTACGCCCAGAGAAGAAAAACGCTTGTCACCGGTGATATTTGGTAAGTGTTTTTATATATGTATATATATTTTTTTATTAGTATACATATTTAATTAGTTGGTGTTAAAGTTTAACAATTATCATTGAATCATCGTTTCTTTTTAAAAGCTATAAAATTTTATTTTTGGTTTAACATTTGTTCATTTTATATTTGTGTTTACTAATACCCTACATCTGCATAGTGGGTGGTATAATGTGTTTCATGTTAAAAAAACATTCTTTGGGAATATTACTATAATTTTAATAAATCTCTAAGATTAAGATAGGCTTGTATCAATATAAAATGTAAGCAATTAATACTTACTAATTAAAACTTTAATTTTATAACAACTGTATTATTGAGTTCTAGTTTAGATTTACTATAGTTATAGTTCAGTTCTTGTTCAGTTCTAGTTCAGTTCTAGTTGTGTTCTAGTTCAATTCTAGTTCAGTTCTAGTTCAGTTCTAGTTCATTTCTAGTTCAGTTCTAGTTCAGTTCTAGTTCAGTTCTAGTTTACTTTTAATTCAGTTCTAGTTCAGTTCTAGTTCAATTCTAGTTCAGTTCTAGTTCAGTTCAGTTCACTTTTAATTCAGTTCTAATTCAGTTCTAGTTCAGTTCTAGTTCAATTCTAGTTCAGTTCTAGTTCAGTTCTAGTTCAATTCTAGTTCAGTTCTAATTCAGTTCTAGTTCAGTTCTAGTTCAGTTCTGGTTCAGTTCTGGTTCAGTTCTAGTTCAGTTCTAGTTCAGTTCTAGTTCAGTTCTAGTTCAGTTCTAGTTCAGTTCTAGATCAGTTCTAGTTCAGTTCTAGTTCAGTTCTAGTTCAGTTCTAGTTCAGTTCTAGTTCAGTTCTAGTTCAGTTCTAGTTCAGATCTAGTTCAGTTCTAGTTCAGTTCTAGTTCAGTTCTAGTTCAGTTCTAGTTCAGTTCTAGTTCAGTTCTAGTTCAGTTCTAGTTCAGTTCTAGTTCAGTTCTAGTTCAGTTCTAGTTCGGTTTTAGTTCAGTTCTAGTTCAGTTCTAGTTCAGTTCTAGTTCAGATCTAGTTCAGTTCTAGTTCAGTTCTAGTTCAGTTCTAGTTCAGTTCTAGTTCAGTTCTAGTTCAGTTCTAGTTCAGTTCTAGTTCAGTTCTAGTTCAGTTCTAGTTCAGTTCTAGTTCAGTTCTAGTTCAGTTCTAGTTCAGTTCTAGTTCAGTTCTAGTTCAGTTCTAGTTCAGTTCTAGTTCAGTTCTAGTTCAGTTCTAGTTCAGTTCTAGTTCAGTTCTAGTTCAGTTCTAGTTCAGTTCTAGTTCAGTTCTAGTTCAGTTCTAGTTCAGTTCTAGTTCAGTTCTAGTTCAGTTCTAGTTCAGTTCTAGTTCAGTTCTAGTTCAGTTCTAGTTCAGTTCTAGTTCAGTTCTAGTTTAGTTCTAGTTCAGTTCTAGTTCAGTTCTAGTTCAGTTCTAGTTGATTTCAGTTCAGTTCCAATTATATTAAAATGGTAGAGGGTATACTATTGTCAGATTAAACGATCATAATCTCTTACTTATTTTTTGCTTTTGTTCATTTTATTGTAGTACATATTTAATTAAATATTAATGTTGTTATCTCCGTGCATTCATAAAGGGCCTGTCCATCATAATGTGCATCGAATTTCATTGAATCATAATTTTAAATTAAATTTATTTTTGTCGTATGTTATATTTTTATCTTTGTTTTGTGAGAAGGTCTGTTCCTGTTTATGTTTGTTCTAGTTTATATTTTTGCATGTGCTTATTTATCATTTGGTGTCATGATTCATATTTATTTAAATAATTAAAGTTTTTTACGACTATTGGATTACAGACTGTCGCTCCAAACTGTTTTCTATAGGAAACTGTAGTCCTGTATGCATAAAGATAATAATCGTTTATTTTAGGTTTATTACAGACATTTTCTGATAATTTTCGAAGTCATTTGTGTAGTGTCGAAATTCAAAATATTAAAAGATACATGTTATTAAACCTCCACTAAAATTGGAAAATAATTATAAATTTATACCGAACTACAAACTCAAAATCTTCAAGCTATAGGGAAATATTCTTTTATTTCATTATAGATAGATTTTTATTAGATTTCAAGCTCACTTTTCAATGTGAATCACACATATATTTATTGTATATAACCATGATTATAAATTTGATTAAATAAAGTGTATAAAGAATCATCATTTATAGAAAATAAATATCAAGAACTATGTAAATTATTTACTTTTTTTATTATAATAAATGAACAAGGCAAAATTGTAATTCAATAGCGTTTAAAATTAATAATTTTATAAGTTTTCTTATATGTATTTTTTTCTCTTATCAGTTTGTAAAAATATATACATATTTTCATTTTACATGATCATTAACGATTTATAGCATTTGTTATTAATAATGTAATATGAAAAAAAAAAAACATCTTACCGCTAAAATACCATTTCTTGTTGTTATTATTTAGATAAGAAATACATTTGTATTTTAGAGCTTAATAAAGTTACCTCAAAACTATTTTTTAAACAGCTGTAAATTCAGTTAGACAATCCTCATACGGTTATTTATAGAAAACTTTGTTTTTAAATATTTTTGTATAGAAAACTCTTTTTTTCAGTTTCTATTAGACTATTGTGTCGTCGAATAGTTTTTTATAGACAACAATGTTTTTAAAAACTTTGTCTTTGACTAGTTTTCTAAAGAAAATTTAGTATTTTTCTATAAAAACTCTCTCTCTCTCTCTCTCTCTCTCTTAACAGTTTTCTATAGATAACTCTATTTAAAGTATTTTCTTTAAAAAAAGGTAGTATTTTACAAGTTTTATATGGAAAACTCTCTTCCAAAAATATTCTCCATAAAAAATAGTCTCTTCTAAAAGAAAACTTTTCTCATTTCTATAAAAAACTTTCTCTTTTTCCAGTTTTCTCTTGAAATCCCTATCTTTGAACTGTTTATATAGAATACTCTCTCCTCGAATAGTTTTCTATAGATAACTCTGTCTTCGAATAGTTTCCTATAAAGTTTCCTTTAGATAACATTGTATTCGAAAAATTTTCTTCAGAAAATTCGAAAAATATGAAGCACACGCTTCGATTTTTCTAAAGAAAAATCTTACTTTAAACAGTTTTAAAAAGAAAATTCTAATAAAAACTTTTTTTCGAATAGATTTCCAAAATGAATTTTCTCTTCGAACAATTTTCTAAAAAAAACTCGAACAGTTTTCTAAAAAAAAGTCTCTCTTCAAACAGTTTTCTAGAGAAAATTCCTTCTTCGAACTGTTTTCTACAAGAAAACTCTGTCTTCGAACAGTATTCTAAAGAAAACTGTCTTAGAATAGTTTTCTACAAGAAAACTCTCTCTTCGAACAGTATCCTAAAGAAAACTCTGTCTTCGAACAGTTTTCTAAAGAAAAGTTTATTAAGGAAGTTTTTCCATTTAACAGTTTCCAAAATAAAATGCTCTTCTAACAGCTTTCCAAACTCAGTTTGAGAAAATTCTTTCTTCGTTTTCTAAAGAAAACTCTCTCTTCGAACTGTTTTTTAAAGAAAACTCTCTTCGAACAGTTTTCTTGAGAAAATTCTTTCTTCGAACAGTTTTCTACAAGAAAACTCTCTCTTCGAACAGTATCCTAAAGAAAACTCTGTCTTAAAACAGTTTTCTACAAGAAAACTCTCTCTTCGAACATTATCCTAAAGAAAACTCTGTCTTCGAACATTATTCTAAAAAAAAACTCTGTCTTCAAACAGTTTTCAAAAGAAAAGTTTATTAAGAAAGTTCTTCCATCTAACAGTTTGCAAAATAAAACGCTCTTCTAACAACTTTCCAAAATAAACTCTCAAAAGAAAATTTTTTTGGCAAAGTTTTCTAAAGAAATCTTGCAAAACTTTGTTGTCGAAAAGTTTTGTAAAGAAACCTCTTTTCTTCGAACAATTTTCTAAAGAAGATTCTTTACTCTAACAGTTTTCTAAAGAAAGGTTCTTCCTCTAAAATTTTCTAAAGAACATTCTTTCTTTGAACAGTTTTATAAAGATTTTCTTTTAATTGAGTTGTTCCTAGAAAACTCTGTCTGTCAACTGTTTCCTATAGAAAATTCTGTCTTCAAACAGTTTTCTATATAAAACAGGTTTTATAGAAAATTTGTCTTCTAGCTGTTTTCGAACATTTATCTACAGCTTTCGTATTCTAATTGCCAAATCTTTATAAGTTTTTTTTTCATGTTGTGATCGTTTTTTAATGTTTTTATTTTCGAAATTGCGTTTTTGGAGTTTAAGTTTATTTTTCAGTTTTTAAAAAAGTGCACAGTAATATATGAATGTTTTTGTTTGCCATAAGTGTATAATCATAAAAAAAATAATAAATAATAACAATAACAATAACCATTAAGCATGTAAAAAACTAACCATTTAACATCAATAACACAATCCATCAAAATTAAAAATATAAAAAAAAAATAAGATAACAGCAAGTTAATAATTGAAAATATTTCCCTAAAGTTCCCGGTGATGGTGGGAGTCAAGTAGATGCTAGACTAAATAAATCATCATCCCCTATATGGTGTGCCAGTAAATCGGATTGGTTTAATCTATGGCTTAATTTGGAACTAATAGTCATACCAGCTGTCTATTGTTGGGTTGATAATGTTAAATTGTATTATGACAATATAACACGTACAACTCATAATACACCTGGTGTAGAGATACGTATACCCGGTTGGGGTAATCCTGAGGTAGTAGAATGGATAGATCCTACACATAACAAGGCTGGTGCTTATTTCAAGGATATTGCCAATATGCTGGTGGATATGGGCTATGAGAGAAGAAAAAATCTGCATGGAGCTCCTTATGATTTTCGCAAAGCGCCAAGTAAGTTTCTTAAGTTACCAGCTACATAGAAATGTTAATGATTTCTTTGCCTTAAAATCACAGATGAACATAAACAATTCTTTATTGATTTAAAGAAGCTAGTTGAAGATACCTATGAGGCTAATTACCAAACACCGGTTACCTTTATAACCCATAGCATGGGTAGTCCCATGACATTGGTTTTTCTAAGACAACAAACCCTTGAATGGAAAGATAAATATATAGCAAGACAAATAAGTTTGGCCGGTGCTTGGGCTGGTAGTATAAAAGCTTTAAAAGTTTTTGCTATGGGTGATGATCTCGATTCGTTTTTCCTTAGTGGTAAAATTTTAAAAGCTGAACAAATTACTAATCCCTCATCGGCCTGGCTTTTGCCGTCTCCTCTATTTTGGAAAAGTTCTGAAGTTTTAGTAGAAACACCTTCACGTGTTTATACTATGGCACAAATGCAGGAATTTTTCAATGATATTGGCTATCCGACTGCGTGGGAAATGCGTAAAGATACCTTGCCATATACTATCAACTTTAGTCCTCCAGGTGTTGAGCTGCATTGTCTTTATGGTGATGGTTTGGATACGGTAGAGAGGTAAGGGAGTTTGTACATTAGTTAAAGCGAATTCTTTGCTCGAGAAGTTTTTCAAAAGCAATCACCAGTTTTTTAAGGAAAACATTTTCTTCGAACAGTTTTCTAAAGAAAACACAGTCTTCGATCAGTTAAACAAAATTCTTTCCCCGAAAAGTTTTCTTAAGAGAACGATTTGAAAGATATTCTAAACAAACTCTTCCTTCGAACAGTTTTCTAAAAAAAACCTTTCTTCTAATAGTATTCTAAAGAAAACTTTCTTAGAACAGTTTCCTAAAAAAAAACTCTTTCATCGAACAGTTTTCTAAACACTTCTTCGAACAATTTTGAAAAGAAAACTCTTTTTTCGAACAGTTTTCTTTAGGAAACTCTTTCTTCTATCCATTTTCTAAAGAAAACTCTTTATTCAAACAGTTTTCTAAAGACCACTCATTCTACGAACAATTTTATAAAGAAAATTCTCTCATCGAACTGTTTTCTAAAGAAAACTCTTCCTACGAACAGTTTTCTAATGAGAACTTCTTCTTAGAACTGTTTTGTAATGAGAACTTCGTCTTCGAAAAGCTTTCTGAAGAAAACTTTATCTTCGAACAGTTTCCTAAAGAAAACTATTACGTTCACGTCTTTAGAAAACTCTTGCTTTTTATAAACAAAATTCTCTCATCGAACTGTTTTCTAAAGAAAACTCTTTCTTCAAACTGTTTCTAAAGAAAATTCTTTCTTCGAACAGTTTTCTAAAGAAAACTCTTTCTACGAACAGTTTTCTAATGAGAACTTCTACTACGAACTGTTTTCTAATGAGAACTTCGTCTTCGAACAGTTTTCTAAAGAAAACGTTATCTTCGAAGAGTTTCCTAAAGAAAACTATTTTTTCGAACAGATTTCTAAAGGAAACGTTATCTTCGAAGTGTTTTCTTTCTCTGATAAGTTTTGTAAAGAAAACTCTTTTTTCGATCAGTTTTCTAAAGAAAACTTTGAACAGTTTTAGAAAAAAAAAACTTTGTCTTCGAACAGTTTTCTATAGAAAATTCTTTCTTTAAACAATTTCGAACAGTTTGTTTAAGAAAACTCCTTCTTCAAACAGTTTATCTGCAAACAACATTTATTAATTTAAATTTATTTTATTTTTTTCCTATAAGATTACGCTACAAAAAAGATGACGTTACCGATGATACACCCAAACTAATAATGGGTATTGGAGATGGCACCGTTAATAGACGTTCCCTGCAAGCATGTCATCACTGGGCTGGTTATCAAACTTCGAATATATCAACATTAGCTTTAAGTGGTGTCGATCATATGGGTATTCTAATCAATCAAGATGTTTTGAATTATATTAAAAATGTTTTGAAATTATAGACTTTATGGTAAAAAAAAAATGAACAAAAGCACTCAGACACAAATTTTGTAATATTTAGTTTTTCTTTTATATTTAGTAGTAAATTTATGTGACTAATTTACCTAACGGTGATGTATAGTTGTAACGCTGTATGTTGTAAAGTTTTCAGATTAGTTTTGATTTCGTTTAGATAACACTACAATAACAAATCATCAGTTGTGAATTGGAAAAAATAGTCTGATCTGTT